AATGATCCCCTTTCCAAGAATTGGCGCTTCAAGACCTAAAACCTGGGCTTGGCTGCAATGCACATATGTTGCAAGATGCCGCAACAACTTCCAAGAACCTTCATTGCTGGTTGGCCGCTCTCCTTCCCTTGCCGACGGACTGAGCAGATCTTTTGGAGCACAGGCACTGGGGCTTAGAGGTTCACTTGCACAAAAATCTGCCTTGAAAGCAGACGAAGGCAATCCGGAGTGCCACGGAATCCCAACCTCCAGCGACTGGCTGCAGTAGCAGACGTAAAGCTCCGCGAAACAAAATTTTGAGAGAAAAATTTCGTGGTTGGACCAGACCACGAGCCCACAACTTCTGGAAACAATGCGTCAGCCTGTCCTACAGCTGCCGAACGTGATCCCTCCGCAAGACTGGAGGGTCACTCGCATGGCATCCGGTAACCAAAAGTAGGGCGTCAGCACCAAATGCTCCTGAATTCAAAAACAATCATCGAGCCGTCAGTTCGTACCAGTTCGCCGCGGACCGGGCAAGCTACTGCGATCCTCGCGATGGTAGGTCAGCTGGATTATCCTCGGACGGAATGTAAACCAGTCGAAGCAACCAGTCGCACGCCAGTTCATGGGCTCCAATCGCTCTCACCACACTCCGCAGCCCGGGAGCCGACGTACGCCCTTTGGCGACGGCTCCTAAAACGGCCTTGGCATCCACCAACACCACGACCTTCTTGTGATGCTTCTTTGCACTGCGAGAAAGCCACTTCAGCGTCAAGAGCAAAGCATGTCCTTCAAGAGTACTCGAATGGGCCTTCCACTTGGCTGGAGCTGACACCAAGGTACGAAAATCACGCTTGCGCAGTGGAAGTCTGTGCGGTGTCCCGAGGCGGGATTTCTCCATCTCGCCGGGTTCCTTGTGCACACGGACATAGTCCCCGCATCGCTCCGCTAAGCATCCTAATCTGTGCAATAAGTCATCGGAGCAGGTTTTTACCGAGACGCCGAACCCGAACTCTGGGGCAGCATCACAGGCAAGGAGGTCATTGGCATACTGCTTGTCCAAGCGTACACAAAGTAAAGGCAGCAAACCTAGCGCAACCGCCAACTCCTTGAGCACCTTGTCAGGGATTTCTGCAGGTCGCCTTCCAGGTTCATGGCTGACAAATTTGTAAATGTTGTCAAACACTCCGAACACAGGACGTTGGAGTAGGCAGAGCCATTGAAGAAGCCCCAGTAACCCGTGCAGCGCCTTGGGCGAGGCAGCACGCCTGTCCAAGACGTCCAGCACGGCACTGATGCAAGTCATCAGTTTGGGTATGGTAGGCTCAGCCACATGAGGACGGCTGCTGATGTCACACCCAAGCGCAGTAACTTGCTCCACCAGTGTGATGTCCTTGCCCAGGTTCCTGGGTATGCCAGCATTGTCCAAGGAACTGTCGAAACGGGCTAGAGTAGCCAAGCCCTTTTTCCGGTCACGGTGCATGAACACGGTGTCATCTGTAGCAACCATACACAGCTCGCTCTGGTCGTGCGGAACTGGGTGCTCCATGGCCAAGATTGCGTCCTCAGCAGCTTTGACGCATGCGATGGTCGTGTTCTGAGCAATGGTGGATGACCAACTAAAACCCATGGGCCAGACCATGCTGACAGGCACCAACAGGTCGTCTTCACGCAAGCTTGAACCGTGTAGATCGTCGGTCAGGCTAGCCAAGAGCTCCACAGTGAAGTTTCCGGCCTGCATGAGCTCCCCTGCTGAGAGTGGTGGTTGCCCGAACCATGGGCAAAGCTCGTCTGGCACCTTAAGCACGTCAAAGAAGGTCTCCGCGTCGCGCTTGGAGTAGAACACCGGTGTGTCTGTGCCCACGTGAAGGTCCAAAAAAGAAGACGGGTTTGCGAGCCGTGGAGGTGGTGGCGGCTTGGCAGCAATGGACGATAGTTCCGAGCCGTTCCAAATCTTCCTTTGCCTCCCAGCCGCCGACTTTCCCACTGCGAAGATGGGAGCCACTCCATTTGCTTGACGCCTGAGCCTGATCTTCCCGCATTTGACCTCTCTTGCAATCAAGATGGCATACTGTTCTGGATCTTCTTGATGTCTGCAACAAGGTCCTAGCTCTCCTGCTGGCACCGCTGGGAAGATGCTTGAAGCGTTTCTCAGCATTTCCCTTAGCTCGGCCGGCACGTGGAGTACAGGGTCGCAAGTAGCAGCCTTCCGCGGAAGGTCCACAGCAGCGCCCACCAACGGCTGACTTTGCACAAAGGAACCTTGTTCGAACTTGTCGAAAGCACCACACCATGTCCACGAACTTCCAGCTGAGAGTTGGGAACGCGTTAGCATCCTGGCGACTTTCTCAGCAACATGAACTTGCACCTGTAGCTGCGGAGCTGTAGGTTTCACTGCTTTGACAGCCGCCAACAAGCGTCCTTCTTTGAAGTCTGCCCACAGAGCGTTCAAACTCACAAGACAAAAGTTTGCAAACACAAGCGCGGGCTCTGCTCCAGTGTGCTTCAGTAAAACGTTGGTCGGCCAGCGTGCCAACAAGGGCAAGGGGAAAATGTCCCTCACCCGGCCCTTCGTCTTCACCGCACGCGAGCAAGCATGAAAAGCTTCATGGAGCACTCCACCGCTACTTAACACCAAGCTCTGCACAGCACCCACCAACCTCGGGACGAAGTCAGAAGATGCATCGCATGGTGTCAGATTTGCAGCCCCAGAATGTCCGGCTCGTGTGAGCAGCCGCTGCTGTCGAGCAGCATCACGTAACAGCTTGGCAGGCGAAGGGTGTGTCCCTCTGCGTCTTTTGCCAGCTTTGCCAACACTGCTGACACCTTCAAGGCCTGGAGGGGGCAGGATGTTGGGAAGAATGGCCATGCGCGGTCACCATTCGCTCAGCCATGCATCATATTCCTAACCCAGCGCTGGTACTAAACATTGACATGGGCCAAACGGCCTCAAGCATGTGAGCAGATTCGCAGCTACGCGGTCATGCGGCCTGCCACTGCTCTTGACACAGATTGCATGCTTGTGTTGGCACGCTTCAACAGCAATATGGTTTCAGTTGGGCAGTGGCTGTATGTACTCAAGTACCTGATCCCAAACTGGCACGCGATGAGATCA